GCAGCAGCGCCATGTCGGGGCCCGCGGGCGGCCGGAGCAAGTGGCACAGCGCCGCCCCCAGTCTGTGAGTGCGGCCGCACGGGCCACGCCAGGGAGAGACCAGCCACGACCCCGCGGGCCCGGGGGTGGGGGCACTGTCCTGTCTTACAGCCACAGGACCGGGGACCTCGGGAGGTCACAACTAGTCCAACCTCCTGCGCAAAGCAGGACCAGCCCCAACTACATCATCCCAGCCCAACTCCTGAGAACATTTTTCCTTCCCAAGACCCGGGGATCCTGATTTTCTCCGAGATTAAAAAAATAAAAAAAACAAATCCCCCATTTTCGTTAAAAAAAGTAACTCCAAACGCACATTTTTCCATGGTTAAAATGAAACGCTGCTGTATCGGTGTTTGTAGATTAGTGGTGTTTGATTTAAATCACAGGAACATGTGGAGTTGAGTATACTTTTTTTTAAAACTGAAAATTGGGGATTTTTTTAAATCAGGGAAAACCAGGTGTGGGTGACTGGTGCCCCCCCCCTGGTGACTAGTCAGCCACCAGTTAGCCACCAGGGGGGGCCCCCCCCAACCAATCTCACCGGCTGGGGGGAGGGGGTCCCCCGTGGCCGATCGTGCCAACTGGGAAGTGGCCGTGGCACTTCATCTGGCGCTCCCACTCCCTGGTTGGTGCTCACAGGGGGGTACCAACGCTCCCACCTGCCCCCCCTGCCCATCACCAAAGCAGGGAGCGTGGCCTGTCGGGGTGCACCAGCGCTCTCGGGGTGCACATGCACCCCCTATGCATTGCCACTGAAACCAGGATCCCTGCATAATATCTAACCTAACCTTCCCTTGCTGCAACTTGAGATCGTTGCTCTTGTTCAGTCATCTGCCACCATGGAGAACAGTCCAGCTTCATCCTCTTTGTAACCCCCCTTCAGGTAGTTGAAGGCTGCTATTAAATCTCTCAGCCTCCTCTTCTCTAGACTAAATAAGCCCAGTTCCCTCAACCTCTCCTCATAAGTCATGTCCCCCAGCCCCCTCACCGCTTTTGTTATCTTCTGCTGGACACTTCAATTTGTCCACATCCTTTCTGTAGTGGGGGGCCCAAAACTGAACACAGTACTCCAGATGTGGCTTCACTAGTGTAGAATAGAAGGGAATAATCACTTCCTTTGACCTATTGGCAACACACCTACCAGTGCAGCCCAAGATGCCGTTAGCCTTTTTGGCAACACAGGTACACTGCTAGCTTATATTCAGCTTATTGTCCACAGCTTGTCTTCCTGCACTCACAAAAAGAGGGAGATGGAGAGTGGTTTTCCAAGTATAAAAAGGTGGAGGAGCCCAGCCATGAGGTCAGCTGCTGCTCCCCTGTTGCTCCCCACCTCCCCACTTGTCACTCTTATCCCTGAAAGCTACCTCCTGAGTAGTCAGGTGCACATTTTGTCATGGGGTCCCCAGCACAGTTTTATGCCATTCAGAGTCTAAATGGTTTCTCACCTTCTCTTCCTCCCACTTTGATTACTTTAGGACAACCAAGATGGAGGCAAGCTCAAAGAAAGGATCCATTTCAGGTTCTGGCAGCCAAAGACGAACGAGCTATATCGGCAGTTTCAGAGTTGGATCAATGAGTCGAAAAAACATATTGGTGGCTTCTGATGGCAAAACTGTGGATAAAGCGTCTCTCATAGGTAGCAGGCACACTGTCCAGGTAATGCACTTTTCAGTATTTGTGTTTAATTGTTCATTTCCACCACAGTGTGGAGGTGCGTGGAGATGACAAAGACTCGTTTGCTAGGAAGAAGGGAAACCAGTGCAGACGTTCCAAAGTGGAGCCATTTATAAAGGGAAAAACAAAGTGTCTAAGGTCCTTTATCTTCTTTCTGTTGTACAAAGAATCTTTTCAGCCTTTGTTTTACTCCTGTATTTTCCAACTTACAAAGATGTGGAGTATCTAGTATAGTCTTCTTTGTTTTTAATATTTTTTACTTTTTTCAGGACTCCGTAGAAGTTCAGAGAAAGAGAATTGGACAGTTCTTAAAGGGCAGGAATGTTTAATGTTTAAAGAACTTTTTGTCCCCAAAGATTGTTAGTCATTTACCACAAATGGCTAAACAAAAATAAAATCTACGTGTTCAAGGAAAAGTTAAATTCCAGAAACAACAAAATAATTATTTTTTAAAAATCAGCACTTTATATTAATATCCAACCTAGGTCTTGCATAAAAACTGGAGAATGTATTCTCAACCCAAGCTGAAGCACATGACACACGTATTTTTCTGCATCAGAGTGAGTTCATGATAACAAAGATTCACATAGGTCCTGTACATCTCATTATCCCTGAAAGTAGAGCTGTGGCAGTATTTAATCCCTTGCCTTGTATTGATTTTGACCTTTGAAGAATTTCAGGTTCTATCTAGTGTTAGCCTTTTATAAACATGTAAGAATTTAGTTCCTGATTAAACTTAAAGGAAATGGAGGGAACATCATTTTAAGAGATTTTTCCTCTCATAAACCTTTACTTTGTAATAATAATGCTTTGCAGTTCTGTAGAGCCTTTCAGCCAATCTTGTCAAGACACTTTACAAACAATAACTTCCTCACAGCACTTGCAATGGGAAAGTATTAGCTCCATTTTTCAATGGAAGACTGTAAGGAAGAGATTTAAGGGCTACATCTCTTTAAGGGCTCTTCTCATCTGGGATGACAGCTTGGTTTCCAAGTTTAAAATAGAGACCCTCAAACCATGCTCAGCTGCTGCCCAACTCTGGACATACTTTGTCTGTAGGCACTTACGTTTTCAATTAGGCATTCTCATTTAATCCTCATTTAATCAGGCAGTACAGCTCCGGGTTCATTTTGTGCCAGTATCCAACTGGGATTCACAAACTGTGTTAATCACGTGATGGTCTTGATTTTGAAGTTGTTCAAGTATGCCTGTGAGATTGGGCTCTGCACAAAATTAAGTGTCCATTTCCTTTCAAAACCCGAGGGTGATGTCTCCTTTTTATGCAATTACTCAGAACACTCACCCAAGATGGACGACTCCCCTACTTAAGGTGATCAAACTTTATTTCCCACTTTTCTTGAAACTGCCCTAGCCAGCTAGGCTGAGAGCATGCTCCATTGAAGCTGTTCCACTTTGTATGAAATAATCTTATAGTCACTGGGCCAGAGAAAGAAAAACTAAAGTACTCATTCAAGAGTGCAGGTCCTGGATTCTAGTTCCTGTTCCAAGGATGGTTTAGTATCACATACAAAAAGATCCTTGGAGTAGATGTGGGAACTTGGGTCTCCCTGCTCCCAGGTGCCTACCAGATTTATAGACTAGACTAGGACTGTCCAGCTTCTGCGTGACTGGAGAACTCAGCTTCACCCCCCCCGAGACACTTGCTGTATGGGCGAGAAACCCCCTAGACTGCATGCCAGATCCTTTTGTCCCTACACTCTATGCTGCATGGTGGGTGCATCTACCCATCACTGTTGCACTGCACCAGCACCCGAGGCCCTCACAGGACCCAGAGCTCTGGAATCTTTTGGCTGCACCCCCAGTGGGAGGAGCAAACAGAATTGGAAACTCCAGCAGCAGCAGGAGAATGATGGGGGAGTGGCATCAGGATTGAGAGCCCAGGGCCACAGTTTAATCCCTTGGGGGCTATGGGTGGCTTGTAGGCTGCAAGTTAGACAGCCCTGGACTAGAGTATGTTCAATTTCTGATTCAATGAATATTTAAATATTTTGTGCAACCTGGAACGGTTTTAACAAGAGGCAGTATAACCCTATAGCCTACTGAACTGGGACCTCTTCTGAAAAGTGGGAGTTAGGGGTTTGAAGCCCCTCTGGCAAAGAAGGGAACTGAACGCAGGTCTTCCCATCCTGGATGACTGTGATAAAATGGAGGTACCTCCTTTCATGAACAATGTGTGCCCCCAGAGGCTGCGGGGGAGGGGCACGGCAACCAAGCACAGGCAGTGGCGGTGATGCCACGGGCATGGCAGTAGTGAGCTCCTGCAGGCAGCCATGGCAGTGATAGGGGCAGGCCGAGTGGGGAGCTCCTGCGAGCAGCCACGTTGGTGCCAGCGGCGGGGGTGGGTGTGAGGGGCTGGGAAGCGCCGAGCAGTAGTTGGCAACCGTGGGGGGGATGGCGAGTGGTGACCGCTTGGCAGGTGCCTCCAGTAGTGTCAACAATGCTTTTCTCAGGAGGTGCACCGCAAATCTCAGGGGATGCAGGTGCACCTGGGTGCACCCCCTATGCGTCACCCATGCCTTCTTTTCCTGATTCCATTGTTGGACCACATCTTCTGTATCAGCTCATGGGATAGGAGTAGGGGTTCCAGGGCAAAAGATTATATGAAAGGGTTCTATGTCTTTAGAAAGTTTAAAAACCTCTGATTTAGATCAACAAACCTCTGCTTCAGATGAAATAACCTGTGTTTAAATCCACATGGGAGATGGTGACAGTAGGATATTTATTTATTTACCTGACAAAAGAAAGGAAATCTCATATCAAGTGTAAAGAAAATCTTGTTTAGCAACTTTTCAATCCACTTACCATATATATTCTTGGAGCAACATGGTAATTTTGGGGGAGATTATAAAAGTTTAGTGTTGATAATTCTCTCTCTAGATTATATTTTCTGTACTACTAACTTGATATTAGTACTGTGAGCCAGACAGCCCCTTATTTACACCATCTTTTGCCAGCATTTAGATTCCCTAATTTTTTTACCGTTGGAGTCATTAGAGAACAGCACAGCCTGAAAGGTCAGTAGGGTGGACCAGAAAGGGGATGTGGCTATGCCAGATGATGGATGTAGTTTCTCAGCATATCCCTGAAACAGCTTCTACTGGCAGAGATCATAAGAAGCAAGTGCCCTTACCCTCAGCTCACTAGGAGAGCAGCAGTGCAGGTACCATCTACCTTCTCAAGGTTTCAGTGGCACAGGGAGTTTAGCTCTACATCAGAGAGGGTGACTGTTTCTATCCCTCCTGACCCAAATGAAGTTAAATGTTTCAGAGTTGCATATCATTTTCATGTGTTTAGGGAATCCATTAATATATTTTGTATGTATTATTTCTGTATTTCCTTTAGGTTTTTGATGAACAAGGGAAGGATGTGACGCCCCATCCTCTCTACCATCCAGAACCAAGTTCAGCACCACACAGACAAACCAAAATCTTGTCAGGACATGATTTCTCAGGGACCACAACTGATTTTCTGGCATCCTTATCCTTGCATCAGACATCTGGAATTAATGCTAGTTTAGTAGGTCCATTCTCAAGGTATGTGGCATTTTGAGAGTCATATCCTGAGCCAGGGTGTACCTGTTCTGGAATGACCATGCTCGAGAAGTTAGGAGCAGGAATAATAGCATAAGGTGAGGTATACTTGGCTGCTATTGCGGCCTTGCATGAATGGAATTTGTCAGTACTTGTGACATCTGTAAATCTGTACCCAAACACACCACCCCGTGGCCTATTTTACCTTGTTACTCCTGAGAGGACAGTCTTAGGAGAGGCAAATGACTTCCTCATGAGTTCTTCCCCAGGTTCAAGAACTAGGAAGCCCAGGATGCAGCTTTTGTAATGGTCTGGCCAGTATGCAAAGGACATAAGGAAAACCAGTCTCAGTGTTAGAAAGGGAAGTAGTCTGCTCCTAGAGGTACTCTGTAGTTAGAATGATATTGCAGCCACAGTATTCCAGAAATTGTGAGATCCAACAAAGCATTTTTGCATTCAAAAGCTTATCTACATAGTTGGTCCAATAAAAGATATCACCCTGAGAAATCTTTCCTCTCTAGTACTTAGAGCAGAGTCTTGAAGGTAGACAGTTCTAATTTCATATAAACTCCTTTTACTACTTTGCTCAGTTACTGAGACCATCTGTCTCCCTACACAACATATTTAAAAGAATAAGAATATATTAATACTTGCTTACCTATGGTGCCTTACAGAAGTGCCATAAAAATACGTTGAAGACCAAAAATACCAAACACTCGTATATAGTTTATTTGTCTATGGCAGTGGTGATCAACCTCTGGTCTGTGGGCCAAGTGTCATCCAAGTCATCATGTGTGGTCCGCTGGGCTCTTCAAGGGGTGGGAAATTTGCCAGTGAGGGAGTGGTGGCTGTTAGTATGGGCAGCCTCCCCCCTGCCAAATTCCCAAACCCAAAGCTTTTCACTGCCACTCACAACATGCTCCTCCCCCACTTCTGGACTAGGGCAAGAGCATGTCCCCTAGCCCCTTCCCTCTCTGCCTACCCCCCTTCTGGTGCGGGGCCAGGTTGGCACCAAGTCATGCCCTCTTTCCCCTTTGGGCCCAGGGTTGCAGCTGGGCTGCTCTGTGCTAACTCTTTGTTGCCAGGTGATGCTAACTGCACCAGTACCAGGTGGGATCTTGCCCCCAGACAGATGGGACACTGCCCATCTGGCCATTTGGGGAAAAAGTTGAACACCTCTGGTGTATAGCAACATCCACCTCTCAGCTTAACCAGAGAACATGTGCCTAAAAAAATTGGTAATGTATTCTTAAAACAAAACAAACTGTTATATGTTTGTTATGGTTTCATATTTAAAAGACAGTAAGCATTGGTTAGATTTGAATATATTGATTTATTTTTAAATGATGGGCGTGTGATTATTAGTCTTTCACTATGAACTGAACGTATGTCAAAAAAACCCACTGTAAGTATCTTTAACTGTAATTCTTTTATTTAATGTATACAATATTAATCTGTTGAGCAGTTCTCATTTAAAATCAATTACAATATTATGCACATATATTTGTGCATGTGTATTCTAACAAAAAAGATCCACCAACTTTAGTCCATATGCCTCTGCTTAAAAAAAAAGCTGCTGAATCCATGTAGTTTCACCATGTATGTTTAGTAAAAGGCAATTAGTTTTGATGAATACATCGAAGAACTATTTGTGCTTAAAATTTAAAGTTCAGAAACTTCTTGTGTTTAAGGCATTATCAAAAAGTGGGTGCTGATGTCAAGTTTGTGGAGATGATGGTTGTTTAGCTAAAAAATTCAAAGAATTGTAAGGTCAGTAAAAGGAAGATTTTAAAATGTCTCTTCTGCAAAGGCTAGTAAATTTGATGCTACTCTTTCAGTACAAAGCTTTTTATTATTTATGCTGCAGCACCTAGAATATTTTTTCTAGGTGTTTTAGGTGTTTGCGCAGTACCTAGAACAATTTAAGCTTAATACTAATTGGAGATTCCTGAACATTATTGACAGGTATACAAATAATTAACTGGAAAAATCAGATGTCACCTGCAAAATGTGTTAATTCTGGAGGCTAAAGTTCCTCATTTCAACTGTAAAACAGAAGGATTCACTTTTAAAAGTGCAAATCGCAGTGCAATTTTAGGTATAGAGCATATCCTGTATATTTATAGACACATACAAACATCCATTTTGAGGAGAAAAAAAAAACAGTATACTAAGGCAACTGTTGTGCATAAGCCTATTTTAAAAGACCTTTATCCCAACCACCACATCACTGTGATTTCATTTTAAATTAACACAGTAAACAAATATGGTAATCTTATGAATTTCAAAGATGTTTAAAAGGCCTGGTCTTGAAAGTGCTACAGAGTGTGGACAAACATACTTTTTAGCTGCTTTAAATGGGGATGAGGAGCTATTGCTCAGGAGGGGTTTCAGCTGTTTTGTAGGGCGAAACAGCACTGTTTCGTTTTGACTTCTCTTTCGACGGAACAGTGTTTCATTTAGAGTTTCATTTAGTTTTGAAGCACTGTTCCATTTTGTTTTGTCCAAACTGTTTTGCTGTTTTGTTTTGTCAAAACTGTTTCACTGCTGTTTCAACATTTTGCCCATAGGCTGTAATGGTGAAGCACAAAACTGCCTCTAACTTTGTCATTTCTTGCCTGATTCAGATGAAACTTGCCGGGACGGTAGCCTCATCTGAGGCCATGAAGCCTGGCAAGTTTCAAGGAGATACGTGCAGGAGTTTCTGGGAAACTGCACCTCAGGCTGCTAACAAGCAAAACTCATGACATGGGTGACACTGTGTGTGTACTAACGCACAGTGGGGTCAAAACTCCAGGCCTGCTAGGCCCTGCTGAGGCCTTGGAGCCTGCCAGCTTTCAAGGAGATAGGTGCAGGGGTTTCTGGAAAACCACCTCAGGTTGCTGACAAGCAAAACTCGTGACTTGTGACTGTGTGTGTGTGTTTTCCATCCCTCCCCCAGAGCACTGGGATGGGAAGGGACCTCAGGGAAGGATGAGTCACTGGCCAGCTACACACAGTCAATATGAGAGCAGTCCTTCCCCCCCTCTTCCCCCTCCCGCTCCTTACTTTCTGTTTCCCTGCAGGCAAACCCAGCTTGAGCTTCAAAACTCCAAACCTTCGTAAATGTTTCAACTGCTCTCGTTTTGTTTTGAGGCTGTTTCGAAGCCCTTTGTTGCATTTCGATCTCGTTATTTTGAGCTCAAAATGAGTCAAAATGAAACAGCTGGCGAAATTTCACGCAGCCCTACTGTTTTGTCTAATTTACATTTGCATGATTCTGCAGCCATACAAGTTAACTGAATGAAGTGGGACTAAAGTTAGAGCTACATTTGTATCACTACAGAATCATGAAGCTGTAACAGTTGCCTTTGAACACTTTCTCTGAATAACCTTTGAAACTGCTACAGTTGTTACATCTGCCCAAAGACCACTTCTTCTTCCTCCTCCTTTTTTTTGATCTATGGTGCCTGGTAGCATTACTACAGAGCAGCTCCACAAGACTGTATGCTAAGAATGGATTCCAGATCCTTTTAAACTCCTCTCTGTCTGCATCCTCACACATCTTCTGTGAAGAATTCTTGTTTTTAACTTTCTCTTAAACCAATTCACTTTTTCTTTCGAATGTCTTTGTACAATTTCTTTAGCAATGCAAGCATTTACTACATACAATATCACAATGTAACTTGATTACCTTGACATCAGTACTTCATTATTATTGCATTGCTTTGATTACTAACTTTTTAACTAACACATATCATCTATATGTTCCATTTGTTATTGAAGGACATACGGAAGCAGCGGTATTTCTAAATCAACCATATCTACAACTGAATCTATAGCAGATGAAATAGTGGAACCTGGATCTAGACGAGACACAGTTATTAGCTTATCTGGTAAAAAGAGCATATTTCTGTTTTTACACATATTCATAGTTCTGATTTTAGGCAGTGGTCCCCACTCAGTCCTTGCAGGTAATATGTTGCCTGTGATCCCCAAACCCCATTAAAAATCTAGAGTCGATCTGTGTTAGTTGACAAGAATGACCTGAAATCCTCTGCAGCTGACAAAAGTTGTGAACTGTTGAGACCTTCTCCCCACCTCTCCCCCAGCGTTGCTTGTGACTACAGGAATCTAGAAAGTTAAACCTAAGGATGACAATGAGATTAATTCATGCACAGTGTTTTCCTTAGTGTATCACTTAGTGTATCCCAAGCTTGGGAACTACTTTTCTGGAGCATGATCCTGTGAACTGCTATGCTAGCTTCTCAAGGATCTCAAAGCCCCAAAGTTTTTCTAACTTTCATCACTAACTTTATAATTAGGTTCCCCTCTTTTAATTTTAGAACAGAAATATCTCTTAGTTCTTTGGCCTTATATAATTTTGCAGATGTACAGGTGAGGCGAGAGGAGGTCAGAGAACATCTGGCAAAAGAAGACTTAGAGAAGAGAGCAGCTGTTTACCTCACAGAGACAGAAACTCTCTGGATACTGGACATGCCAACTGTCATGGTGTCTGTAGAGTCCGAAGAAGCTGAAAAAGTACAGTATGTATTTTTACAGTTGTATACATGCTTCAGTATCTCAGGTTGAGTTTTCATTGAATACAAAGATTTGAAAAAGACACATCAGTTAATAGGATCAAGGTCCTTACTATCATAGTTTATAAAACAACTTTTGCTTAAGTGGCTTACTGGTCTCATTTGCATCTCTAAACAAGTTCATGTTAAAACTAAATTTTTGCTGACTGAATTCAGACCTTTCATCTACTGTGGCAGGTAACACATAGTAGTATCTTAGTGACAGCAGAACTCAGTACTAAAGTGATTGTTTTACCATAAAAAACATAATTTTCCTCTACCCAAGTAAAAAGGCTTTCAAAACCAAATGATGTTCTTTATTTACTGCCAGTCTGAGACCCATTAACATGCCATGTATGGAAGAACATGAGGTGTTTTTATTGCTTAAAATCATTTATGTGACAATGATATCCAAGCACAGGAAAAGCACACTGCAAAGCAAACCTTAAAGAGATGCACTTAGCTAAAATGGCATTTATATGGCATTAGAAACACAGGGGAAGAGAGCTGTTTACTTCAAAATACAACCCTCCCAAACCACTAGATAAGGCAAATACTTGATATTAAGCAAGCTACTCATAATAAAAAGCCCTGTGCTTGGTAGCAAATTTGTAGATGGAATGGGATCCAGGTGGCTAGGGAGAGAATTTACAGCACAGTCAGATTTAGATGCAAATGTTTTTCCCCCAGCAATTTATGACTTATAGTATCTAAAATAATAAGAATAAGAATCAAAAGAATACTAATGTAGCAAATGTCTCTGGAAACATTCTTTTTCATGTAGATTTTTCATTCAATAATTCTTAAAAGAAATAATCTAAAATATACAGCTATTATGTTTCCTCAGTTTCTTATAGCAGCTTCAAACCCACAAAACCCCTGTCATTTTCTCTCACCCAGTCCATTTGTGCAGTACTGAACATGAACAGGCTCAGCTGCACATACTTAGTTCCCACTTCAGTGTTTCCTCCCTGGGCTGCCTCTGAACTGTGGCTGGGTGTTAACAACACACAGGATACATCTTTCTGGCTTCTTCCCAGGAATACCAGTGGAGTAGTGCAGTGAAGCAGTGAATCACCCTCTGTCTTCAATAATAGACCTATATACCTTGTCACAAAGTGTTTGCAGAATTAAGCTCTAATGCCTGGGATCCAGGCCCCTATAAATCACTAAGCCTTTGCATTGGTATACTAACAAGCTTATAACTAATGGGCATCTGCTTCTAGTAGAGGCTATAGGGAAAATGCATCCTTTGTGCATGATGCATCTCCACCCTGACCTTCCCTGACACTGTCAGAACACAGTGTACCCAGGGGAAGAAGCCAGGTGAGAAACATCAGAGAGTCCTCCAGCTCTGACTTAACCTGTGTGCTTAGCACATATCGTCAACTGAGTGGGAATGATTGGTGCTCTTTTCTGGGGGTAACAACATTGTTGGTGGACTCAGGGAAAAATTTATATGCGTCTTTAGGATATTAAAACTGAAATAACTGAGAAATAGTTACACGTTTTCTCTTTACTATTTCCACAGATTGTAGATTGTAGATGATTCATTGTAGATGAGACAGTATATAGAAATCAGTTTCACTCTTACATTTAGGCAACATCTAATTTTGCTCTGCAACAGAACTGTCAATTTTTCAATTATAGCTGGATTTCACCAAAGTTCAGTGGTGTTCAGATCTGGAATTTTGCTCATATTTAGGCACCATTTCTACTCCAAAAAAACACTGTAAAGTTGAAAAAGTACCCACTGATGGGGAATATTGAGATTTAAACAAAATTCCTCTTTATTGTGAGAAGAAGGAACAGTAGATTTGCACAGAGAACAAACCTGTTCAACCTGAAGGCTTAATATGGACAGTTTTTTTCATTTGTGTTAACATTGCATGCTTTTTAAAGGGAACGGAACAAGGCTTATATAGAGCTCTGTAAACACAGAACTGGCAATGATCGCTTTGTGGAAAGGATGATGCAAACTCTTAATGGAGCCCCAAAAAATAAAGAAGTGCAATGTGACAAAATCTTTACAGAGGACAAAGGTAAATTATTATTCAGAAAAGTGGTCAATATGGATAATGGTACTTGGTAAGAATGGATCCTATTAAATATTTTCTACATTTGCTGATTGTTACTGTGGTAAGAGAGAAAATTAGGAAGGCCAAGGTATGATCTGCAACGTAACTGGCACGGGAGATAAAAGGCAATAAAAAGGTATTCTAGTAAGTGGGCGTGTCTAGATGCGCAAATGCTGCTGGATGGTTTACTCCTCAGTAATTTACTGCAGAGTAAACTCACCCTGGGCAGGGACCTACATGAGCAGGCATTTGAGCACAGCCTGGGGCTGGCCAGGAGCTGTCCCAGTCTGGGGCTGGTCCCAGCTCCGTGCCCCAATTGGGAAATTGAGGCATGGGGCTTGGAAAGAACTGCAGGGGAGGGGCAGATCGCACCCTCCTGTCCTGATTCTTTGCCCAGTCAGGGGCTTGCTGCCATCTGCCCCACTGGTGGATTGGGGTAGGGGTTTGGGACCAGCCCCTCCCCTGCAGCTCTTTCCAAGCCCTGTGCCCCAGTTTCCCAATTGACTTCCCAGGCTGTGCAGGGAAGTCTATATGTGCAGCTTGGGGCAAGCCGGAAATTGTCCTATTTTGGGACAGCAGCAGCTCTGGGATGGCGCACAGTGGGTGGGCAGGTGGTCGTTGCATGTGGGTGAGCTGGGAGGGGTAAGATGGCCATGGTCCAGGCAGTGGTCAGCGTGGCGGAGCAGCAGGGCCAGCATAGTGACCAACAGGAGTGCAAGGCACTAGTCGTCACTGCCATGGGCAGAAGCAGAAACAGCCATAGCATGAGAAGGCAGAGGCAGTGAGGAGAGCACTGCTGTATGCTGTCCCTGTGCTGTGCATGCTGCTTCTCACCTGCAAAATGGCTGGCCAGAGAGCAGCAAGCAGGGCTGGCATTTGAAGAGTGCTGCTGGCTGCTGGCAGCTGTGGCCGGAGCCTGGAGCTCCCTCAGTGGCGGCTGGGGCCTATTGCAAGGCCCCAGAAAGTGGAAGCAGATTGGTAGCAAATCTGCTTCTGCTTCCCTGCATGTATAGACGCCTGCTTGGCACCATTTACTCATGAGTAATTTACATGCGAGTAAACTGGTGCCGCAGTAAATGTACGCGTAGTTTGTCAAAACAGTTTGTCAAAACAGAAGTGTCATTTGCTATACAAAGTCTAATATTTCTGTCAATTATAGTTTTTATAGTATATCTTTAGAAGTAAAATACCGTACAATTCATTTCTAGGAATAATTGCCACTTCCTGGGATTTGTATGATTCTTTTAATGCCTTGGAAACTACACGTATACCATCAATAACAGGAGGCAGCCGACCAACAAGTGTGAGTAGCAGTAAATCTGTTGTGACCAAAGATCATGATCGTACCACATCTACAACTTCTACTGACAGAGGTAACGTTTTTCTAAGTTTAAAATTATGCAGTGTTTGCATCCTTAAAGTTGTGAGTATTGTCTGTGCTCTCTTGCAAAGTAAAATTATATTGAGAACATGTTCAGACTCTACACTTAGCACTGGAAATTAAGGTAAGGCTATAACAAGATTAAGGGTATATATATAACCTTACCTTTGCTCTTTTTAGGTAAGTTCTGTGATGGTTACATGGTCACTACTACAGCTAAAAAGAAACACAGTATTCCATCATATATTTTTTTCTAGTCTTAGTTACACACTCTAATATTGTGGACTTCAAGACAGTATAAAAAAGCATGGGGAACAGTCACATACTATGTTTTAGACAATGTAGTATTCTGTACAATTTTTAATAATTTCCTGCAATACTTAGCTATATACCTTTCTTCTGATTTTTACTGGTCACAAGATTATAGTCTGTATTACAGGAAATAGCAGCAAGCTTTTAGCTCAAGCTGTAAGCAAAAAAAGACTTAACTAGACAGGACAGCATTTGTCTATCCCTTGAGTGTTACATAATCATCAAAGCCCTGTTACCTCTTCCAGGCAAGGACCAGACAGGATTCCTTTTGCAGCCTGTTGTGGCTTCTCCTTTAATTAACCAGAGGTGTTGCTACTGAATGAGGTGAGACCACTCTCTGGTTTATAGGCAGACAAGGTTCTTTGGGTGAATCTGATATCTTTTATTTGACCAACTTAAATGGTTGGTGTAGCCGCTGGGCCTCATACATGTTGCCTTGGGTTTCCTTGCTCCGAGTGCTCACTGGTACTCGGCTTGCCGTCGCAGGTGGCCTTCTAGGAGGTCTTTTCACACGCTGCAGTCTGCCCTTTCTCGTCTGCCATGACTTGGATCTTTCAGTGGGTGGGGCTTCGTGTAGCGCGGTTACCCTCGTCAGGTACCTACGTCGTAGATGTCTTCTGCGAGGCTCCTCCTCCCCTGCACCTTGCCCTTACCCAGCCCGCTGGATCTTGGCTGTTTCTGTGGGTGCTCGAATAATTCCCCAGATACACAAATACCAAGCTCACCCCTCGCTCTCGCTTCCTGATGTCGCGCACTTAGCCCCTTCTAACCTGGGGAAACACAAAAAGGAACCTTTCAAAATTCAACTAAAACTCTATGGGCCTAATGAGGGGCGTAACCCTGCCCCTATTAGGCTTCCTAGTGGAGCCAGTAGCCTCTCTGCTCCTCTGCTTAACAACCGGGTCACACGCTCGTGGCTCGATTCAGTAGTCCTCTCTTTCTATATCTGATTCCCCCCACCC